TCTCCTGGAGTGGGGGAAGCTCAGGGCAAGCACGGGGCCATCGCTCCAGGTAGAGGAAACAATACAGAATGAGAAAAAAAGGACAATAATAATAATAATAATAATAATGGAAAAGACTGGGCACACAACCATTTTCTATTGTTATATTAAATTCTCTCATCTCCACGAATCTGCTGGGCTCTGACCTCAGCCCTTTCTGATTTCGATCTCTGTAGCAACCAGAGAGACCTGAGGTTAAGATACACACTGCTATGTCCTTAAAGAACCAAACCTTGCCATGGATCACAGATAAAAAGTGAGTTGCAAAGTGATGTGAAGCATGGGAACTTCAAAAATAATGTTCAAGTTATGGTCTTTCAGGAAATTTTTAAAGCGATGGCTACAGCAGTGTGTATATGTGTGTACAAGATATATACACACATAGAAATAAGCAATGCAAACGTATACACCGACACATGAGTTACCTGGCAAAATTCTCCCTTTGATCTTCCTCAAATTATTCAATCAATTCAATTCGAGTTTGCATTCATAAATTCCACGGGGAAAAAAAAAAAAGGGCTAAATTGGCTGCTGGTGGCTTGTTACACCAAGAGCCAGCAGAACCTGACTGATCTGCCAGAAGAGCTCCCCAGACTCCTCCTGCCTGCGGCCGAGGTGCCCTTGACACCATCTACTTTACGGAAACTATTCCAGCAGTGCGAGGGCCGGAGCCGGCAGAGCCGCCCAGCTGCCGGGCACGCATCCCGCCTGCGGGACGGAGGCGTTGGCACTCTCCCCCCAGCTCCCTGAGCTGCTTGTAGAACCTGACTGATCTGCCAGAAGAGCTCCCCAGACTCCTCCTGCCTGCGGCCGAGGTGCCCTTGACACCATCTACTTTACGGAAACTATTCCAGCAGTGCGAGGGCCGGAGCCGGCAGAGCCGCCCAGCTGCCGGGCACGCATCCCGCCTGCGGGACGGAGGCGTTGGCACTCTCCCCCCAGCTCCCTGAGCTGCTTGTAGCTGGCGCTCTATCTGTAGCACCTTCCGGCAAAACGAGAGATAAAATAATGATTTATTTATAAAACAGGAATGTGTTGGTTGCTTTTTTTTTTTCTTTTCTTAAACAAAAGAAGCTTCTTCAAGCTATGTCAGAGACGCAGAGCACGGTAATGGAATGTAACTCCACAGCCTCGCAGATAAGGCTTTAAAGCTGACCTTTGCCAAACGCAAAAGAGTTAAAGGAAGGACGTGGAGGTCAGCCAGTGTTTTACACTGCGGCAATACCTCGGGTTCTTGATTTCCTTATGGACTGCAGTGGAATGTTTCTGCCGGAGTTTCTTTCATTCGTTTCAGACTGATCTGCATGTCAGACTTTTGGCTCTAGCTAATTGTAACAGCACTTAAGGAAAGCAGAAAGGATATGGATGCAACACACACATGAATTACTATGTTATCTAGCATTGCCTGTCATCTTTTACAGAAGTCATCCCTTTAACCTTTATATTTTTAAGCTACAGTCAGACCATCTATTTTTCTGCCATCACATCAGTGCGGAACTCTGCACCTATAAATTATGGGAAGAAAAAGTGCTGAGCATATGGATTTTTTTAAAAACATGATCCTCAAATTAAATCCTTAAATGAACTGAACCTTCCACTCATGGTAGATTGATAAAGACAACATGGGAAAAGCATGCCCAATGATCAAGGCTGCTCCTTGCCATCAATTTTGTTCATTGCTTTATCACAGGAGAAGAAACATGCTGATAAGGCACAAGCACTACCCAAGTACGAGTTTTCATTTCCACAACATCCTTCGACGTGCTTTCCACATTTAGCCTTCATTTAACCACTGTAAAATCATATGGTATGTCCCTACGATGACGTCTGGGAAGAGTCTATTGGTTCAGAGCAACACCAGCGGTCAGCCTCCACAGCAAGGGAAGGGAGACGTAGGTTCCTCTGAATGTATTTTGGGGAACCGAAATCAGCTGAACCCACAGACCCATGGCCAATGCCCTAAACTGAGAAAAAATCAGGAAGATATTTTCTGACTCAGCTTCCAGGACTACTCCTTGAAGGAAGTGTTTCCCCATGGGACTCCTGTGAGTCTTAAACGATGGGAAGGGAGGTTGACCGTGGTGTACATCTATCACTCTGGACCCTGCAAATTAAGGCTGCCGTAGATGGGGTGGGTTTTCACAGCTAAGATCAGGTATTTCTCATGACTATACCTATTGCTCTTCTAATAGCAATGAGGAGTCCTAAAATGGCATCAAGACTACGGAACAATATAATAGCCTGGGGGGCTTGATGCATTCAAAGGGTCTCACAGGGGGCAGGCTCCAAGTTCTCTTCGTATTTGAAGAAATTTCCAATCAAAATACCAGAAAAATTATGTTTTAATCTCTAGAACAACATAAATAAATTTGTTTTTCAGACAAGAAGATATAGCAGAGCTGCACAAAATGCTCTGCTCCCCTGTGCTGAAGAGCACTGCTGCCTCTCACCAATACTCTTCAAATGCTTTTTTGTGATACGTAGATAAGTGATGTGGGATCACTTTTACCACAGGCACTTCCACCAAATTTTCATTAATTTCATAGCTGGAAATCTGTTTGCCAACTTGTACGGAGAGAAGGCTATGCATGAGTAGTCTATACAGTACTCAAGGTATTGTTTGCACAGAAAGAACAGCAAACAGCAAGGAACAGATTTCCAGGCACTGTCCCTCCGGCGTTCCACAACGCGCAATTTCTCTTTGCAATGTCACTTTGCACAGCTGGGTCTAACCCGCTGCTGCTATCCGTAAGGCTCTCGCACTCACGCCACTGGCAGCAGATACGAACTAGGTTCAAGATAACATACACTGACTTTTTTTTTTTTACTCTAATTTAGTAGGAGTTCCAAGTTTATACTTTCTTTGTCATAAACTCCTTCCTGATTCTCTTATTTCATAGATTAAATCTGGTTAGCTTCTACAGGAATGTAAATGTTCTCCATTCAGTAAAACAGAGATCCCTCTGCACATTTCTTTGGCTATGTTCCTCTCCAATGTTTGGTACAACGTGACCTCTTACTAGACAGAGCCACAACCTCCAGCGGCAATGAAGTGTGATTAAATATCTTTTTTGGTTACAAAATTATAAAGTCAACTATTAAAGAGGAAGTCTCGCTTTATTTTCACCTTTTCACACTCTTTGTGTTTGTACCCATGTGTGCCGATGGGCAGTGAATGCTGAAAACAAAATTAAAATCTCAGATTAAATCACTCTAAAGCCAATTTAATGTTTGATACAGAGCATACAGAAAACAGTGATTGTTTGTTCCCTGGATATACGGGCTTTGAACGCAGAATAAGACAGGGCCACGTTAAGCTAGAAGAAGGGTGCTTAGCTCAGGCAGAATATAACCCTCCCAGTCTCCAGACTAGCACTCCTGACACTAGGCTGGTTTTTCCTCATGGTCTGGATGATGCTGTGCAGACGTCGCCTTAGAGCTCAGCCCAACACTCCCTGAATTAGGGGGATCATTTGCTGTTGCTTTTCCATAACCGAGTGAGGCTTTTAGCTAGTTAAGTTGTGGTCTTTAACCCAAAACCCTGCCAGAAAGAAAAATGGGAAAAAGGTCCCCAATCTATTTTGTTTTAAAAAAGTGAGGCAATCCAGAGTGGCCTAGACAGTGAAATTCCGGCACAGCTCTCCACTTCTGTGCTCACGCTGCTCTCCCATGGGTTGCTGACCCTCAAGGATGTGTTGCTTAACCTCACAAATTTCAGAAGCCCCAAACTAGGTGGAAGCAGACACAAAATACAAATTTTTACAACCCATTCGGTCTCCAAACTGATAAAGAGCACAACAGCCCCCACAGCGACGCCAAGCTTTCCTCCCCAGAACACCGCAATCACAAAAAGGAGTCTAAATCCGAGCAAAGAGCTCCCCTTCCAAAACAAACTCAGTAACTTTATGTCAGGTACCTTCAAAAGGAAAGACAAAAACATAAAAAATTTTATGATGTTCCATTAGAGGGCATCCTAGCATGTCCTTTTGTGGTCAGATGCTTCCCCTAATTTATATCCCCTGCAATACTTCGTGAACGATCTTCTATAAGGACAGTCAGGAATATTCACATCCCCAAACTTCTACAACCCTTATAATTGTATTAATGGTTTCATTTTATGTTTTATTTGGTACTGTATTTCTCTTCTAGTGGTGCAGCTTCCCTCACCAGGAGAGGCGGGTTTTCTGTATTGTTCCATGCGTGTAAGATGTGAATAAGCCCGACACAATATCACAAAATTAATTTCAAATTTCAGAACAGTTGAAGATCACACTTGAAAACAATAAGGGACTATAAAAGGTGAGCAGGATTGACCCTGTATCTTGAAACTAGAGGGGAAGATAAATATATGTTCTCAAAAGCTACCGAAGACAGACGCTCCGCTCCCAAAATACAACAACGTGGCAACTGCTCGGATCCCAGAGCACGATCCCAGCAGCAGGAACCAGACCCGAGCTCCAGGATACAGGGAGCTGTTGTAAAAACAGCCACTACTCCCACCCACGTACTCAATCCTTAAAAACTCAGTTTTAAGACAGCTTACTAATACAGGTACAGATAGAGATACAGCTTATGACCATCAGTCCCCTTAAAATGAGTAAGAAACCCCTAAATAGTAAAATCTACTTATAGAAACAAATATTTTCCAGATTGGGCTGTGACATGTATGAAGATCAGTCTCTACTCATACCTGTATGTACACTGAAATCAAAGACTGAAGGCACCAGAGGATCTAAAGGTAATAATAATGGAAATTAAGAAGTCTAGTGTAAGAAATCGGAGCTGACATGATAACATGAAAATATATCTACGAGATAGATAATTCAGTTACAATAAATTACCATACTATCTGACTTAAAGTGGAATGTAAAAGTTCTCCTGTCACACAAAATGAAAAATGAACTTCTGACTGCTAAAACGCAAGATTAATGAACTGACATAACAGACATGAAACAACTTACGATGATCCCGGACTTGCTGTTGGCGGGGGACCTGGAAAAGTGACAGAAGAAAAACAGTGTGATGAGTTATGGCGAGGTAGCAAGCAGGAAGCTTTCGAAAACCTTTTAAAAGATAAAAGTAACAGTCTGTCATGTTGGATGTGGTTTATGTAGTTTAACAGACGAGTCGCAGTTTCTCAGTACCAAAGACAATACTGTATCCTGGAGCAATGACTGCAAAATGCCGTAGACAAGGACAATAAACAGGTGAGGGACTCATCCTGCAATTCATCTGTCTCTCGGGCCGTCATAGAAAAGGTTACAGCAAACCACAGGAGGCTTGTAACTATAACTGGGAGAAAACAGCATTAATCTTCATTATTTATCAGGGAATTCATCCTCAGCCCGATTCAGATGCATTGATCAAATTTGTTCTGACACACAGCACAGACTGAAGAGTCGGCTGCAGCAGACTTCAGGGAAGATCACACTAACGAGTATTTGCTCTAGAAACTGAATTGTGAGATTAAATATTGCTCCAATCACAAAAAAGAAAAATACTTGCTGTTTTCTACAGGAGCATCTATAAAAGTATCATTGATCAGATAAAAATCTCCTACATTTCAGATCCAGGCTAAAGGACAACTGCCTTATGAGAGTAACTCTAATGATCAATTTCTTATTAGAATTTAGAAAATTGGGGAGATTTATGAAAAAAAGACTATGACATTCATCACAGGTATGATTCATTGTGTTATGTGGCCAGTTCCTAAGAGGATTAACAAGGACTCTGTGCAACCATCTTCATCTCAGTGCATTATTTCCCTCTGAACGAGGAGGTGGCAGAGAAGATGCACAAAACCTGTTTCTTGTTTGGAATCTTCTCAGTCATAAGATCAGCTCTGAGGGCAATTATCTCATATAAAGTTTGAAGAAAAAGTGCTTATTTTACCTGACAGGTGTATGTGTGTATGTACATCACTAATGCCTCCGACCTATACTGCAAGCTGAAATTTCTCACTTACTCCGCTTATTTTACCTGACAGGTGTATGTGTGTACGTACATCACTAATGCCTCCGATCTATACTGCAAGCTGAAATTTCTCACTTACTCAAGACAAAGGAGGTCACTCAGGCACTTGAGAATAAACTACTTTTTCTCGTCTGCTCTGAATTCACTCAGGTAGCATATTAACAAACATTGCTGTTTAGTGAGTCCGGTGTTTCAGTCCTGCTTCCAGTAGGTTTTACACAGAAAAAGCCACTGTTACAGCTGGCAACAATCTCAGCTGAGCAGGGAGTGAACAGGCAGAGAGGAAAAGGTGCCATCCTGGAGATGGTCCCAGAAATAGGCTGAATCAGACTGGCTGATACCACGACAGCAGCGCACTCCTTTTCAGTGGACAAACACACCTCTCTCCACAGTTGTTTTTCTAAGAAACAGTTTGAACGCTTTAAAAAGAGAAAACTTACCGAATTTTACAAACAGCACGCCAGTTGTAGAAACAGTCTTTCTGCCGTTAGTTGCAACGCACTGGAAGTAGCCGGTATCTGTAGTGTCAAGGTTCCTTATTCGCAGTCGAGACCCATAGCTTGTGGCACGGAAGGAGATCCTCCGGGGTTCTTGGACAACCGGAGCATCGTTCTTCAGCCAACGGACCGTCGGAGGAGGATTGCCAGAGACTTTACAGTGCAGCTCTGCGGTCTGGCCAAGGGTGGTAGTTATGTTATTCATAGGTTCATCAAGTGTCAAGAAGTAATCTGTTACGTAAAAAGCAAAAAAAGGGTGAATAAAGAACTCCAGCTCAGGAAATGTCATTTTGAAGAAAGCTCATGCTTGTCTTTGAGAGGGAAACCAAGGAAGTGGCTATCAGGTTTAGTGGAAAATGATAACACTTGTTAAGTGATGTTTCAGGGCAGGCAATAGGTCCCACACAGTTTTGCATGGTAATAAAAGGAACAAATTTGTGAATTTCCATTGCACTACAGTAAAATGTTGTATTTCTTGAAAACTTCTCTTCCTTCATACACCCACAGATTCTACTTTCTCAACACCATCCTATTTGGCTTCATTCAACACAGAAAAAGGAGGTAACACTGCTTCTCTTTTATTTTTCCAATAAACATGAAAAACATGTATCAGAAATCCAGCTACCCATTTTGATGCCTCTGCCTATGCAGATACGCCCCTGCTCACATCAGGATACACAAAATCTAGCAATATATGAAATGAATTGCTCAGAAGTAAAGATCTCAGAGCCATTTTTAATTGATTTGCAGACCAGTACAGACAATACGTAGTCAACGACTTTGTAACTAACTGCATAGATGAGGAATAAGGATCATATCTAGGAGATGAGGACTTTTTTCTCACTCAGTATTATTTCCCTTGCTAAGAGTACTAAACTTTATCTTAAATCTGAAATAGGTCTCATGATAGGTGCGAGTAGAAGATCGTGAATTCTTTTCTTAAGACGGAGAATGTCAAATCAAAATTTGGCAAAATTAATCTCTTCGAATCCATTCTTAAGCATTGCCTTCTCCTGCCAAGCGCTATTTCATCCTGCATCATTCAGGAAGAGGACTATTTCTAGTTAACTGTATTCGACATTTAATTAAATCCTTTAAAGGTGGAGAGCGAGATGGATTGGGTACGGGGAACGGAATACACAGGCTTTCATCTCCATGTCACAGGTTCCAACCTTAACAGCGGTCATTAGTGGCCAAACCCCATTATCATCTGCCGGCTGTCTCAGCAGGGCGCCCGAGGAACGAGAAATCCAGAGGCTGTACTCTGCTCCTGCACTCTCAGAGCCAGCCCAGGAGGTCAAGAAAAGCCTACCAGTAAGTAAACTTGGGCTGTGCTGCTTATGCTCCACCATCCTCAGGTACATCTGCTAACTCCAGCAATAAGCCTGCCTAAAAGTATGAAAAAAATCTCTAGCGTGTATAGAAACAGCTTATCCAACTAACTTGCCTAACTAATCCACTTCCCTAATTATTTATTTTAATCACGTCTTCACTAGCTACACCCCTCATTATGTTTTGAGTATATCAATATCTCTTTCCTCTGTATTTAATCTGCTTAGCATGTAAGCTGTTACCCTGTGTTTGCATAGCACTTTATACAATGCATCCCTGTTCTCATTCGGTCCCGAGGAGCTATCAGGATAAATGTTTAGCACAAAGGTGCTGCCCACACATAATTATTTTCACCGATCAACCAGCCTTTTAATGTGCAGGTATGACACTGTGCAAAAAACCCCTACTTTTACCTACGTTCCCATGGATGTAATTAATTAGGAAATCTATGTATGGGGTAAACGGGGCAGAGATCCCAGCCCCCGGTGAAGACAGACAATAGGGTTCGATGTCTCTCACCAGAAGTGTCAGACTGGCCTTTCGGCTCTCCAGAATCATTTCTGCATGCTTCACTGCAAGACTAGAGACGTTTCTGACTTGCTGTCTTAATAACCTCACCGGGAAGCGTAATCTAAGTCAGCACACGTATTCTTGGGTTCTCTCCGCAATCTGGGTTTAATAAAATTGCACTAATAGCAGGGAACTGGATAACCGCATTTAATTATCCAACGTAACATTTCTATACCACAGTCATTTATATAATTCCTGATAACATTTCAAAGACTGGTTCAGACATCTACAGTATAACACAGGCAGAGAACAGAATGGCCTCAGTCCTGCAATGGTCTTACTGACAAACACCACAGTAAATATAATATTTTAAAGGTCCTATGCATACAGCAGAGGCAAATAAAGGAGTATGGATATAGGGTAGGTTTCTGAAGGCTGGAGAAGGATTTTAAAGTACCAGCAGCAACAGCAAGTCAGTGAAAAAGTATGGCTGTAATGCAAGAGCTATGATGCAACCTCTCTATAGGTCCAAACAGAAGTAGCCTCTCAGTGTCAGGAGCTTCTAACTCTTCTGTAAGTGTTCTCCAACTTCCTCCACGAACTACGACAGAAACCCTAAAACAAAGTGCAGCTGCTAAATTCAGCTTAGCTTAGTCCTCAAATCCATAAATTTTGCATCCAAATCATAAATCAGACCAAGCAGATCACTTGAGATGAGATTTACACAGGGCAGGTTTCAAGGAAATGGGAAGCTTCATGAGAAGACATTTCTCACAGATAAAGCAGCTCTGGAATTGAAAAGGGGCTGAAGGTCTAACAGTGCTTCAAAAAGCCTTGGACTGTTGCTGAGGCATACAAAACGATAAGCATTCCTGACCCGGCACGCACAAAAGCCATCCACTGCTGCCCTGACCTGGCGTGGAGGGGCCAAAGAGAATCCCGGTTTTATTTTTAATACTTGTGTCTAACTCTCACCAACTAAAGCCCATCAAACCCCCAAAGCTACTGCCACCATCCTCCCCCTTTAACAACACCTATGCAAAGAACGTATCAAATAGTTCCCGCCTGCGGCCAGGTCTCTGCCCGGGTCACCCCCCGTCAGCCACCCTCTGGTGCCATCACCATTAACATCTCCTCCTTCCGGCCCCAAAGGCCCCAAAATCCTCCTTTCGTGCTTTCGGCAGGAGGCGAACAGGGCCGACAACACGGGGACGGACCCGCTGCTTGCACACGCGATGAAGACACCGTGTCGCACGGTCTTCCGGCACGCCGCGTTTTGCCATGTTTCGTTTGACAGCCTCCCTGCCCTCGAGGGGCTCCCCAGATACCCACCGTCGACTCCCTCTGACCTAAAGAATAATTTCTTAGAAATTCTGTTCTTACGTACAAAGTAATGACTGCGCTTCTGAGAATTAAACAGTCTAGTGGCACTGGCCATTGGAAAGTCTGAGTTTTAATCCTGGCTCGGAGTAGCTTTGGGTGAATCACTTCAGTTGTGAATTTTAGAAGAGCCAAAGGGAAGTAGACACCCAAAGCTCACATGGGATTTGTGCAACTAAGTCCTTTTAAAAACAGCCTTAAACCTTTTGGCTCAATCTCTCCAGCTATAAAGTGAGGATAATAATCCCTCTTACATCATGGGGAGGCTGTTATGTACATTAATGAGATAATGCTCGTAAAGCACTTTGAAGGTGAAAAGTGCTATGCTGGGATAAGCACTGTTATTATATTTTAAGTTAAATCTCAGGGTTCCAAGAACATAACAAAAGCTGGTCCATATTTTAGAGTAGCACTCTATTAAAACATTTTGGAAACATTTTAATTTACAAAGGTATGGGAGAACAGCCTGAAAAAGTTCTAAATAAAATTTAGCCCACCTATAATTTAATAATAGTCAAGCTGATTTTTTTTTAATTTGTAAAAACAATTTACTGCTGGGCCTCGACCCTGAATGCCAAGTTTCAGCCCACAGAGATTTTTTTTTTAATGGCTGAGTTATAAACCCTTGAAAAATGCTGACAGCCCCTTTACTATAGCAGCACTAGCGGGTGCCCTATAATGAACTTTTAAATGACTTGAGATAATATCTGGAAAGCCAAGCCTGAAATATATTTCTGGTTTTGAGCCGTTGCCAATGCAAACACAACACATCATAAGTCATCTTCATGATTCTAAGCGCATAAATTGGAGACACTGCATATAAAATCCAAACATTAGGTATCCTTCATGGCCAAACTTTTTGCTGGTTTGATGTTACAGAACAGCAACAGCTGTGCAAGGACGAAATGTAGTGCGTTGCGTGTCTCGAAAGAAGAAAAGCGTGTGTATTTCCACAGCTACGTCTTGACATTGTTAAATAGGAGCCTGCCCGGTCCTAATAAATCCTGAAGTATTCTACTACTTTTTAAGTGGAACCCAGGTGGCTTTCAAAATAAAAGCTCGTCCTCTCTGGCAAGGAATGTTAATCTCTAACCACACGGTTACTCTATCTTAAATTACCAAAGACACGTCTTAGAGCAGTAACACCCTCTTTGCTTGGACGAGGATTTTGCTGGCCACAGCGGGACCTTTTTTCCCCCCAAGCGCCGTGTGTGCTATGCCTTTCTGATTTCACTATCATGATGGGGATGCAGGATTAGACCTTGAAATGGTCATTTTATGTGAAGAATTCTTGTTTCATTTATCCTTTTCTTTATGCCCTTCCGATCTTTCGGAATACTTTAAAGAAAAGCTAAAATTAAAGTCTCCATTCAAGACATCACGAGCCTGAAAACAGCTTTAAAGCAGGTGCAGCAGAGAGGCCAGCGTACCAAGTTACCTCCCACAATAGACGTGCAACAACACACTCCTCTGGAAAGGAACATCTCCAAATCTTTTCTCAAGCAAACCTACACCCGTGGGGACAGCGTTTCCAGCTGGTGGACTAGAGAGGAAGTTTAATTCTGGATTTGAAAGTTGAAATCTGCATTGCAGCACGTAAAGTAACGACCCGACCCCGTTGGAGTAAGGCAGTTGGGACACCGGTCATAGACTGCTTATCGCATTTATCCTCTTGCATCAAAAGGT